GCTCTGTAGTATATAAGCATTTGCAAAAACCATAATTTTATGTACAGTTGAGACCAAGCGAAGCTATTTAACCCTTAACCGGCGTGGCCGGAAATTTTAACACATATGGCGTTGCGGAGTGCTTGGGACTCCAAAATAAAAAATGGTGTTATTTTTTCAACTGTTCAAAGAAATAGACGTTTTTTGTTAGATAATGAAACATAGATATGTACAAAAAACACTTTTATATTTATAATCATTTGAGTACATAACTACTGCAAACAAAATCTAAAATTGTTAAAGTACAGCCTCTTGTAAATTATGCGAACTATGCGTTTTGAACAAACTTCTTTTAATAACGTACAAGAACAAGTACCACTTTCTACATCGAATGGCAAACTGCGAATAAATACAACATCTATGTGAATCACTTTTTGCAGCTCGGCAGAGTGTTTTTTCCCGTCGTTCTTGCCGACCGGTCCGTGGTGACTCACCCAGACCACAAGTACATATTGATACGGCTGTTTCGATCTTTTTCTAACAAAAACTAAAAATGTTAATAAAAATAAGTATTGCAACAAAACTGAAAAATAACTTTTCAAATTGAAACCATGTTTCACAATGTCTAAACTAGAAATAAAAAGAATAATATTGATTTCCAACCGTAAACAAAAAAAATAACAATGGTTCAGAGATTCCTAAAAAAGAAAGAAAACATTATGACTCTTCTATATTTTCAATGCATTGAATACACATTTTTTTGGAACATTTTAAACATAGGGTAGGTGGGGGCAAATGTCCGCATTTTTGCATTTGTAGTTGCTTGTGACTCCTTCGTCTATAACACGAACTTCAAACTTGTTGATATATTAGAACCATTAATACTCTTGACTTTTAACTTGAAGCAAAATGCAAAATATATGGATATATGTTAGAAAAAAAGTGTCATACCAAAACATGATAATCCGGATGTTTGCCCCTTGGAAGGGGTAACAATCCGCATTCCGAACTTTTGCCCCTTTCAAAAAGTACTTTCAAAGAAATGTAAACTGCATGTCACATAACTGTAGAATATACTTCCAGAAAAACAAAGTATTTTCTAAAATACAGAAGAAACAAGATCTATTACAAAGCAAAATCACTCAAGTCTGTTGGAAACGTAACCGAATTCTTGAACCTGGCAGAACTGCCTGTCAGTGGCATGGGGAGTCTACTTACAATGTCACACTTATTGACGAAGAATTCTTCAGTAGTTTCAATAAATCTGTGTGTATTGGCCGCTTTTTTGAAATATTTCCGATACAACCATCTTTCATCACCTCAATAATCCGCATCACGTAATGGCGAAATGAATGTTTGGTTTTTACGTATACTTTGACAACAACAAACAGTCCTGGGGTAAATTCAGGGACTGTTTCATCATCACTGTTTGAGTGATTCAGATTGCTACTACTATCATGAAGGGAAAGTTGCGATTCTAATTCCGATAAGGTCTCGTTATCTTTCTTGTGAGATTTTGTTTTGTCGCTAAACACGTTTCTTCCTATTTTTTTATTCCTGTTGATCTTCGCTTTTCTTCCTTTTTCTTCCATCTTTCTTTTCTGGCTCTGTATTTTCTAATTCCTCTTTGTCTGGAGTGGAAGTGAGTAAAGTAGATTTGAGTTCCTTTCACTTCCGCTTTCTCCTTTTAGAAATTATAGGGAGAGGAATAATATTAGAAGGTAGCACAACACAACGCTTTAGACAAAATGGTACATTTGTCTTGGCAATTATTTTTCTTTTCATTAGAACCGAGCATTATTGCTCGACTATAGTCATTTCCAGTATTTGTCTCTCCTCTGTTGCTCTTTCCACTACTGCCTCCTCAACTGGTGCCCTCCCCATCTATACCCTATGATCCATTCCCCGTCCGTTATCGCCTTCGGGCCTGTCTTCTTCAAATAGAATGACTAAATGCATGTCTGGGTCATTCTTGTCTACGTCATCTATGTCATCAATTTCTTGTTCTCTCACAGAAGCTGGAAGAAAGTCTTCTTCAGTGAAAATATTTACATTGAGAGGGTATATTCCAGTCATCTGAAATCCATTAACGGCTTTTTTGATACTAGCAGTTTTTTCATAGGCCTGCCTGAATAATCCACCGACGTGATATTCTGTTACTACTTATCCAGGATTCAATGTAGTACAGTTATCACATAAGTCATCATAATAACCTTTAAGTGGCCTGAAAACAATTCTGTTCAAGGGTTGTGTACGGTGACTGCTATGTGGTGGAAGACTGAGCAAGTGGGGCTGTAAAAAGTAGGATTTTTGTACTTGCGAAAGGTCCTAAAAAGAGCGATTTACAGTTTACACATTTCGACCAAACAATTGATTTTTTTGGATCACCAAATGGGGTAAAAATCCGCAAAGAACGGAAGAATGTCCTTAGCGGATCGTTGCCCCATCAGGCATGCGGACTTTTGCCCTATAAAGGAACTTTAGGTTTATCAAAGTTGGATTGAAGATCATAACCTCAAATCAAGTTTTGTTTTTTGGAAACGTGTTGTCGAAGAGTCTAGTCTCTTAAAGCTACTGTAAAAATCTCCAGCATATGCCGTGTATACACATCATCCTCACCTCTACATTGAAAAATATTAGATCAGAGCAGAGAAATTTACAACTTACCTCATAATTATCACCTATAACGATGTACAGATCACGTGTTCACGCTGTTGCCACTTCTGCAAGATACCGACCGATACATGCATCGCTGGGTAGAAAACAATAAGAGAGTTTCTAGCTACACTATTGAGGATTTTTACCCCACGCGGACTTTTACCCCCACCTACCCTATTGGTTTTTTGCATTGAACACATAAATAACCAGTTTTTCTTTTTAATTTTGGGTCACAGATAAAACAATATTGCGTCTGACTTCTAGTCAAAGCTTCTGGAGCGTTGGCTGGTGTCTCCTAGGTAATCTTCAGAATTTTGAAAATACCTGCTTTCAACTCTCTTGGCAAATTTGTTTTTTGGGATCTTTCACGCAGAAGTGGTTCATACAGTTGTTTGACCAATAATTTTAAAAAATCTATTCTTTGTAGCCTATTTGCGTTGACACAAGACTGATGGATGATGAATGCATTTATTGAAGACATATCCACAATTCTGTAAAACAGAGCCATAGGCCAACGTTGCGTTCTTCTGCTACAGCAATATTTACTACATTTTTCGTCTACAGCATCCACTCCAGATTTTGTGTTATTATAAAAGGCATTAATTTCTGGCAAACCGCTGTCTTCCTGCTTGGAGTGATGCATCGAAGAAATCATTATTACAGCTTTATTTTTCTTTGGTACTCTGGAAATCAAAGTTTTGTTTGTAAAGCCATATAGTGTGGATCCCACCAGTCTTGTTTTAGAAGGTAGAAACTCTATGGGTATTTCACGTTGGTTTTTTTGCATAGTACCCACGTAAGTTTGTTTTTGATGAGACAGTCTATGAGTTCTATTGAGGACTACCAGTTATCGCCGGTAATATTTCTGTTGCTTCCAAATATGGGCTTACAAAGACGAACAACAGCTTGCGTTGGAATAGAAAAGCGTTTTTCTTCTTCTGTAATATCCTCTTGCGAATCGGTGCCCTTGCCACTAGTCCTGAGACATACGACTCTTTTCTCTGAGCTCGCTCATTTCGTTCAACTCTCTTCAGTGAGTCGTTCGTTCGGAGTCGTTCATTTGAACGATAGAATTACCGACCGGCCTCGAAGCTGACGAGAGTATTGTGTTGCCTATAGTATCGACTCACTGAGTCAGAATATACCTACATCATACTATGAAAATGAAATGAATGGTTAGGGTTGCCGATGTTATTGTATTTATTCGAGTATTAATATTTTTGGCTGAAATTGAATGTTACTAATGTTTACATTCTTCCGAAAAAAGAAGGGATATGTGGTTCAGTTTTGAGGAATTACCGAATTCTACGTCAAAATGCAATTTTTGCTCTCAAATCTCATCATTTCAACGTATAATTTAATGAGACATCTCAAAACAACTGGGTTCCCTAGATTGTGTCTGTTGTCAGTTCGCAGTTCAGTTGCTGGATACTGCAGACACGCTTTGCACAATTGAACGAGTCATATGTAACAAAAGCGTGGTTCAATCATCGCTCACATAGATGAGTCGTTCATTTAGAACGACTCGTTCGCGAACGACACAGGACTACTTGCCACAATAAATATATGTATTGTATATGAGGCGTCTATAAGCCAAGGGGTATAAGTGCATTTTTATCAGTTTTGAGAAAATCAGGTTTGAGGTTTAACATCTTTCCTAAATTCGACTGCTTATTTTTCTAAGTAATTGATGATTTCTTGGTCTTTTTAAGTTTAAACACTTTTATGTAATAGTATCAAACTACCAGTTTTAAAAAAATATACCATTTTATACGATATTTATGTTGATAAGTATCACTTGTACCCTTTTCCTCCCAAATAAGTAACTTAAATCTACTTATATCCCTAATACTCGTAAGTAAAAATTATAGTGACAAAGAAAAACTAATTTTTATTGAAAAATACAAAATCAAATTAGAATAAAAAATACAAAACGTATGCAATATAAATCCATTAAACTACTCATAATCGCTATCGAAACAAGTATCTGGTTCATCAGCATCCTCCTCAACATCACCGTGGGTGCCTTGATCGGTGTTTTGCTGTCCTTGTTGTTGGTGGGGCAGATTTCTATAGAAATCGTGATAAATTGGGGGCATAAACTGAAGTAGGTTCATTAGATTGGCATATTTTACTTGTTTCAATAATGGCTTTTTAGTTTCACAAGATAGATTTTTTAATACTGGAGGCTTTCCCCGACGATCAGATTTCATGTTGTAAGTCTCAAACAAACTATCATTTCCTACGGTGTTTTTAACCCTACATCGCTCACGCCTCATTTTATTACACCATCGCTCGCGTGCTAGATTTTATCTAACATTCAGATGTTCAATAAAAATGCTATTTTTACTTAAATTAAATGTTTATATTGTCAAGTATAGTATTACTTATACTATTAAGCTATACATTAGTGAAACATTATTGTTATAAACTATAACAAAAATACTAACGAAACACTGAAAATTCATCTAAAATTTCTGAACTGAAGGTTTCTTCTTCTGATGTTTCATTCTGGAATCCTCTAGAGCTGAAGAAAACCCTAAAAAAATAAATGCAGGGTATATATTGAAAGCGTTTACATGAATGCTATACAAAACACTTACGCACTTTAAACATTCTCGTTACGTCCATAGCATTCACGACAGGTCAATGAAGTTATTGCTGTATGTTCCTTGCATATCGGTGATCTACAGGTTGAAAAATCTCTCTTGGTGAACCTGTTTTTTCTCAATGGACAGAATTCACATCTCACTTTGGCTTGAGTGGCTGGGTCTCTATTTGGGGTTGGTCTTTCTCCAGTTATGTTTCTAATCTTTTGACTAAGTAGATAAGGCAGACCTGGAATCTGAGAACGTCTATACAGGTGAGGCATTACAAGCAATTTACTAAATTCCGATATAAATTGTCTTCTGGTAATAATATTGTTTGTATTCTCTCGATAGATTATTTGGCTGTTGATGGTTGATATATTCAGAAGCCCACAGAATACGGTATATGGCCATCTATTGCTGAATCGTGCTGTTGAATATTCAGATTTCATTTTGTCGACCACATCTACGCCTCCTTTCGTAAGATTATAGTCTGTAATAACTTCGGGCTTGAAAGCATCTCCAGTGTCATCGTTGATCTTACTATCATCATGCAGGGTTGATAATAACAGCACGTCTTTGTTTCGCTTTGGTACATATGAAACAAGAAGGCACTTATTGGGGTTTTCATCAGAGTCTTCACTATATGCAAACATGCTGCTTTTTACTGGTCTATCTTTCACAAGAAGTTCTCGAGGAATTTGAGGCTTATTTTTGCGAATTGTTCCTATTGTAGTTAGTCGATGATTTACTAATAAGCTATTATCCAATGGCACTGAGGTGAAATAATTGTCAGTGATTACATTTCTTCCTGTACCACTAATTGGCTCTATAAGTCTCAATACAACGCTCGCTGCGTAATTTTTTAGGTCCCTCTGGTTGTTTACCCGCCTAGATTTCAAGATTTGATGTAAAAAATGTTCTGGCGTCTACTAACCCATAGTTGCCGTATTTGGCGGGCTTGTTGGCTATGTATTGTCAAAATCGGCATCTCCCCCGAAATGCCTCCAACATTTCGTCAATTGTTACGTAAAATCTCGGAGAATAAGCTTGATTACAATTTGTTTATCTAACCCGCGGCCGAACGCCATCACTCGCGTGCTAGACTGGAACTAACATTATGCGATTGCGGCTCTAAAACAAAATAGATCCTCCCCACGACCACAGATTCACATAGTAGATTAGTTTGAAGGAGTATTCCTAGATGGTGGGCCTGCTAAGCCGCAAAATTTCAAATTTACGAGAAAAAATTAAAAAATGTTAGATTTTTTCTAACGGTGCGAGCGATGGAGGGTTAAAGAACAATGTATCAGGATGATCTTATTCAAATCGCAGCCATTGCATAGCACGTATCCCTGTCACAGTGTTTTTATAGAATGGTTGAAGTGTATCCAAGTTCATAAAATCCTGTTCTGTCATCCTAACAACCATAAATTTTGAACTGGTTTTAGAATCATTTCTTCCCAATGTTCCGGTACAAAAAATTCTCTTTCAGTTGTTTTTCTCTTTAGCTCAATGAGACCAAAATTTCTAACGCATTGATTAAACGAATGTCCAGTTATGAAAAATCTGTGATCTACTGTTTTAATTTTCGTTTTTGCAATAATGTACAGCCAGAATTTTACGATAATCTTGCTTTTGTTCTGGCCGCCACAGTTATCACTAAAAGCCGTAAGATGTGTAACATGTTCTGGTAGGCTTTGGATGTATTTCAAAAGACAAGAGGCGATTTCTTGACATCCCCGGGATGCTTGTCCTTCATGCCATACAAACATGTACCCAACTCCTGTTTTTATGTCATGAATGCAGAAATTATACGTCCATAATTGACGAGAATAATATGCTTTAGAGGTATGAAGAGTTGGTGTTGGCAACATCTTTTGTAAGTCGAAACAAATTGCAACACGTGTTTCATCTTCGAGATCTTTAAAACTGTTTCTAGCTATTTTAACTGATTCTGCTTTGCGTAAGTGTACTTCTTTTTCGGTAACTGCGTTTTTTCTTGCTTCATCTTCACCATTATCAATTATATTTTGTAATTTATCACAAACACTGCATGTATCAGCTAAGGGTCTATGGAATCTCAAATTAAATTGAGTGTTAAAAATGTACCTATAAAAGCTTTCCTTTTCTGGTTGGACCCCTTTATCCAAACAAAATTCTTGGTAAAGCTTATACATTTTTCTGACAGTAAGGCCAGGGTCAAGTATCTACAGTTGGGATTTTTGTGCCGAGAGTAATGGCTGACATATTTCGGGAACTGATTAATATGTTGCTTTACATTATCAACTCTTTCTTGGCTAATTTTGTTTCCTGGCGGTCGCTTTCCTCTATTCTCTCTTGGAGATACACCACTTGAAATCAATTTCTTTCTATCGACCAAATTTTGGAGGCGTTTATTAGAAAGATCAAGTATTTTTAACAAAAATTCTTTACAGACCCTGTTGTTTGACAGCCTGTATTCACATGACACATCTCTACTGTAGAACGCACTCTGTTTCCTTCTCTTTACTGGAAGTAACTTAATTACACCATTAAGATAGGAAATTATCAGTTCCCAGCTGCCTAACCCCCAAAAATCTGCAAACATTTGTTTTCTTTGTTCTTCACTGACCTTGTCATTGCATTTAAATCGGCAGGTATGAATGAAGGGTTTTACTAATTTTTTCAAATGCAGTTTATTCTTGCGATCAATATATGCCTGTATTTCGAGTTTTCATTTTCGCCCGTTTCCGCTCACTTGGATTACTTAATTTCTTTTTGCCTTTCGATGCCGATGGTTGCACATTTTCCAAAGCATCTTTATCTAAAAAATATTATTTTATTATATTTTCATCTACATACAGACAAATACATACCAAAATCACTTGACGCAGACGTATCATCACTTGGACAAGAAAAATCGGGGTCGGTATCTGCATCTAAAAATATGTAAAAATAGATACACAGCCAAAAATATTGTCTGAGAATATTAAAGTGGTAGTAGGTAAAAAAAACTGTTTCTTGGTTCACAATTGAAGAGCTAAGTGGAAGAAGGCGGTATGTAGCAAAAAGTTACTATTGAGATATCAGCTGTTAAAGTTTTAGACTAACTACTTTTACTAGGGACAGATATTTATGAATGTTTAGTTGTATTTCTATTGCTATAAGAGTGCAGAATCTCATAATCTTAACATTTTTGTTCAATTCATTATTTTTATGTTTAAAAATCACTTAAAATCGTACATACCTCCTTCATCCACTAATTTTAGTTTTAGCATTTATACTGTATGTAATGGATGATGGTGGTTATGCACATAAAAAATATGAAAACAAAGGGATATATTGCAATAATAAAACTATACATAGTCAAGAGTTTAGCATTGGTATTATTCATATACATCCAAAATGTGCTGGTACCATCACTTGTGTTGGTCTGGAACATACTTCAGCTGCTCTCTCAGGTTCTCAAGTTTAGGTTGCTTCGAAAAACCAGTCTTTCTAAATAATCTCGATATGGTGATTGCTGATTCCAGACTTGGAGTTTCACGTAGCTTATTGTAAATGTTTACCTTTTGAAAGGGCATGTATTCATCATAAGTTATTTTAAATAGGTAAGAACCATATTCTTCAACCCGTATCCACTTGATACTATTACGAATCTGTATTTTGTTCTTGTTAACATCCCTCTTTCTGTTGTACAGCTTCATATCTGCTTCAACAGTATCAGTCACTCTAAAATGTTGGGTCATGTCTATGACTTTATTTTTTGAACAGGATTTAACAATGATCTCTCTATATTCTTCAGGGGAGTATATGTTTTAGTGTTTGCGCAAGTTTTTCTCGATGCGCCCAAAATCCCTATCTGAATCTAAATAAGTATGTCCTACTTCAGGGAATTTATGGTCTATTATTTTGAATAGACCTTTGTGTATCAAGTACTGATATAGACAGATTATTAGAAAGTTTTTGTTCTGTCCTGCACATGAGTCTGACCAGATAATAAGATGGTCTTTGTTTTTTTACAGAATCCTCTAGCTCTAAAATTGTAAGGAGGCAGCTAAATACTTCAGAGCTTCCTCTTGACGCCTGATCTTCAGTCCAAGAACAAAATACAGCTTTTTCCACCTCTTTAGTTGAAATATGGGTGCCAAAATTGTACATCCACAATTGCCTCAAATAGAAGGCTTTAGATGTGCTTAGCCGAGGCAGTGGCATGGTCTGCTGCAAGTCCATTGTCATATAAGCCAAATTATATGAACCTTTGACTTTCTCTCTATCAGTTTTCAGGGCAACATATGCTTCATGATAATTTGCAACATGTTCTTCATTCGATTCACCAGCATCGCAAATACTGCAGGTGTCGCTTTTAGGGTAGCCAAATGACAGATTAAAATCTGAAACAAACACACTTCGGTATGTACAGTCTTTGACATGAAATGTGCGAGCAACGTTATCAAGTACGCATTTTTCTGTGTACAGTTGGTGCATTTTTTTATAGATAACGAAGGAGAGAGGTATTTTTTGTAAATATTTTTAGTCCGCGAGTAGTGCGACTCCTCTGCTGGAAATGCTGCGATATGCTGCTTTATATACTCTCTGACACGATCGTCAATCTTATGAGGTCTGTTGTTATGCTGACCTCTTTTATCTGGATAGGGTGCAGATAAGCCCGATTGTATAGACTTTTGAAGTAAATCAATTTTTTTCTTGCCTATGCAGAATAAATTAACAAATGCGTTCTTGCAAACAAAGGTCTGTTGTCCTTCAAATGTTATAATATATTTATATGATGCTGATTTATGTTTCGAGGCATCCTTTCTCCTACGTTTTACAGGATATATGCTGATAGAACCAAACAATAATGCATTCTTTGCATTAACGTCCAGCTTGTAATATTGAGAAAAAATAGCCTCTCGGTGAACAACAGTAAACTTTTCACTACACTTTAATTTGCATTTTTGTGGACACAAATCCCCAGTTGAGAATGACTTTGCTTGTACAGCTTGTTCTTTGTAATTAATAAATGCCTCTCCTTTTTCTCAAGCAATTGATGCCTTACGTCTAACCCACTCGCGTCGCACAACAAAATTGTTGGGTTGAAGTTCTGTAACAGGTTCTCGGACAGAATCGCTCACATCTTCATAATCAGGTTGGTATTCATCACTTGAGTGATCACCGAACAGGCAGTTGACCTCACCTTCACTATCAGTTCCAGATACTGAAAAGCAAAAATGAGATGAGATATCTTTTATAACTAAAAACCATCGTTGGGGCATAATAGTATACCTTAGGATTGAAATCGTAGTAATTTTACCTAGGAAAATACTGGTTTAATGAAATCACTACCAAGAAAAACAACAATAAATCATTTTGAAATTGAGTTTTAGGTTAAGCAGCTAATATTTACAAAAAAAATAATACTTCATCATATCATTATCTTAACGTTGCTTTCACATGCGTACATATTACGTGGGCTCTCATTAGCTCTTAAAGCTATGTCTAGTAGTCTTTTGCCTCTGGAGCTCATTTTACTTGCCACTTAACCCTAAACTGCATAGGCAAAAATCACACGTGTCGTTGCTTACTTGGGGTTACCTGTAACCCCATCTATATATTTCCCAAAAACATGGAAACAAACAAACAATAATAAATAAAGACTTTATATTGTGAAGTAACATTACAAACTACAATACCTACTTTAAACAATCAGTGCATATTTCAACTCTATGTGTATTGCAAACGGCCTTAAAACATTTGGCACATGCAGTTTTTGTCTTCCGATCGTTGGCCCTTGGGCAGACAGTGCAGCGCATTTGTTTCTGTAGTTTAGTTGGAGGTTGATCAACTGTCTTCTCTAGTTCCATGCCTAGAATACTTTTTATGGAAGATGTTAAACTTCGGGGTAGAGGTTTTGTTAAACGCCGCTCCATATGGGGTCTTGAAAGTTGCAACCCAAGTTCGAATAAATATTTTGACGCTTTTTTGTCTGTCCTGCTTAGCAATTTGGAAAATTATATTAGAGTTAACCCCTGCTTGGTCCAGCATTCCATAAAAAAGCGCAGTGGCCATCTACGTGTTTTGCGAGAAACTGAACTAGCATGAACCATTTGGTCGAAGGTGTCGACTCCTCCTTTGGTTGAATTGTAAAAATTTATAATCTCGGGCTTCAGATTTTCATCTACTACTTTACCAGTATGCATTGTAGATAGTAAAAGTACCGATTTAGATTTTTTAGGAGTAAACGATACTAAAGTTTTTTCATTATCGAATGCAAATTGGGATGTATTCACTTCTTTTTTTTGTTTGGAAGAAAAGATGGGGGAACTTCCCTTTTGTTTTTACGAAGAGTTCCCACAACTGTTAATTTAAAATCCGAAAGCATTTTGTCGGCTAATGGAACAGAAGTGAACCAGTTATCCATTGTTAAGTTACGTCCTGTTCCGTGAATAGACTCTGATAACTTTTTTACATAGTAATCTGGGAGCGGTTCTTTATTTGGCTGGTGCTCTTTGCCAATATATGGTATAGCAGATATCATATAAAAAGTGCGCGAATCGAACATTGTCACAATCTTTAGACCATATTTATCTGGTTTTGAGGAAATGTAGACTCTAAAGGGACAATTGCCGCGAAATCCTAGTAACTGTTCATCAACCGTGCAGTAACTATGAGGAGTATAGTGTTGAGTACATCGAGATATAAAGATCTCCCATAAATTGCGAATAGGTGAAAATTTATCGTCGCGGTTTCTTACTGTCTTATCGTCAAATCTGAGACATGAAATAAGAAATCTAAATCTTGTTTCACTTATAATACATCGATATATCTCTGGTCCATATTTTGACCACATTTCAGCAGTAGTTAAGTGATTGTCTTTACGGCATCCTGATATATAAAGCAGACCTATTAAGGCTAAAATTTCCGTGTCATCTGTGTTATTGATATATCCACAATCTTGACTGTAGTTGCTTTTTTGTCTCCCAATCTCCATATTGGTATACAAAACAATCTTGTTTATTACATCATCGCTGACGAACAACTTCCATGCTTCTAACTCTGTTGATACATTTTTGGCAATACCCTTCGAGCCAGGAACACGTACAACTATATTTCGCCGAGGCGTGCGAGTTCGATATTGAGGCTCTGAGCTCCAAACGTGCCCATTTTTTCCTCTTATTACCTTCCTTGTAATCTCAACTTGATCTGCCGTTGCTTCTTCTTCGCTGCCCTCATCCAAAACGGTAGAATCACTTTCAGACTGAACTGACACATTATCTTCGTAATCGGAGCCACCATTATCAGAATCACACTCATTTTCAAGTTCATCATTCCATCGCAAAAGCGTCTCCCCAAATTTGGGATCACCCGGTCACATAGCCATCTAAAAATAACGCTACTTGTCAATAATGCAATAAAACTTTAACAAGCGGTCCTGCTTACCTGGGGTTACGCGCCACCCCACAACCCACAATATCAAAAAACGCATTAACTGAGTAAACACCTATAACGCACTGTCAACAGAGCGTGACCTCACATGAACATACCAGAAATCTCGGCGTTGCCAACTCCTCGGTAAGGAAATGATTAAAGAATAAAATTTTGCTGGGGTTACCGGTAACCCCACTAAGCATTCTAGGGTTAATATTATCAGATAATATTATTATAAAACTTAACCTCACTAATCACCATGCGTGTTATTAGATTATAACCGCTTGTTAGTGGATGAAGGTGGTATGTAACATGCTTCTTTTACTATCGAATAGAAGATGGCAGCATGTGTACATATCGGCCACATACCCCCTTCGTCCATTGTCGAACTGCATTTCTGATGATACATACCTCCTTCATCAACTAATATATCTCTTATTAATCCTTAACCAGCGAGGTTCAGCAGAATCACGCTACTCGAGAACTCCGGTCTCGTAGACCGCTTAGGCAAAATTTCAAGTTTGTTGGCTATTCCCACTTCCATATTGTTTTAGATTGAAAAAAAGGCTACAAGTTAATGATATACAAATTTATTTTTGAAAGTATGTATCAAATCCTAAAAAAGCACAAATAAAAACACTGAAAATATAATTATGTATCTAAAAAAAGTTAACACATTCAACCATTTATAGTAATGAGGTTTTTACAACAATTTTTAGAACATTCTTAAAACACAAAAAACATGGATTAAAAAACTAAGTTAGATATTATTTTGGAAAATTTCCAGTGATGCAGTTTTTGCAGCATTTTTTAGAACATTCTAAGCAAATAGGTTTCTTGCAAATAACGCACATGTATTTAGTTTTTCCTTTTAAATGATATGGGCATAAACGACAAGTTGTTTTTTTTTTTCAAGACAATCACTTGAATTATCCTGTGTGTCAGATTCTTTTTGCTTTCCAAGTATTGAAGTGATGAGAGACTTTAGCTCTCTATCCAAATTAGGATTTTCGCTTCTTCTCTGAATATGTGGCATGATCAACTTCAAACCTAAATCTTTTATAAATTCAAATCTATTGATAGCAGTTCTATTTTCGAAACAATTGTACAAATAAATGAATTACTTGATGATATGTCAAGAATCCTGTAAAACATTGCTAAAGGCCATCTGCGAGTTCGCCGGCCTGATGTGTAATTTGCACATTTTATGTCCAAGGAGTCAACTCCTCCTTTTGTCGAGTTGTAAAACGCAATAATCTCCGGTAAACCAGTTTCTTGGTCAGTTGACTTAGTATAGTGCATTGATGACACAAGTAGCACGGTTTTTTTTTTTTTTTTTTGATACATGAGAAATAAGCGTGATGTTATCTTGATCAGAGAAGCCATATAAAGTAGAACCTATTTGCCTTTTTTTATCCGGTACAAAAATTGGTGATATCTCTCTCTTATTTTTTTTCAGAGTCCCTACGTACGTGAATCCACGATTGCTCAGTTGCTGGACTAACTCTATCGAGGAAAAATAATTATCTGCTGTAATATTTCGGTTAGATTTCTGAAGTGGTTGACTGAGTCTAATAACTGTTTGAGTTGGCTTCAGAAGTCTTTGTTCTAAGTCAGTTAGTGTTTGTCCATCACTGTTCTTACCAGCGTAGATGTAACCATTATAAAAGTAAGATGTTCTTGCATCAGTAAGGCATATCACTTTTATTCCGTATTTGCTCGGTTTATTAGGCATATACATTTTGAATGAGCATTTGCCTCTAAAAGAAATTAGCATTTCGTCCACACACAAATTCGCTCCAGGATTATATGCGTTTTGGCAGTTCTTAATGAATTTCCCAAATAAAAATGAAATGGCTGCCGAGGGCCCATCGGTTACTTTTCTCTCTTCCCTCGTATCTGGATCGTCAAATCGAAGACTAATGAGAATCTTTTCAAATCTTTTGGCTGACATTGTTGCTCTAAATATAGAACGACCTGTTGTATCTGTTGAAAAGAGTGAAAGCAAATTTTCATGCGCCGATCGGAAAATAGAAGAAAGCAGTAAAAGACCCAAAAATGCTGACATTTCTATTGAATCTATGTCTTTATAATCCGGAGATTTCTCGTTTTTATGTTTGGATCTAATTTCTGATAATTTTCTGTTGGTCCAGCGTACGACTTCATTTATCATGTCATCGCCAATTAATAATTTCCAAACTTGTAAAATATCTGGATTGTTTCCTAATGCTCTAGCAGATTGTCCCAAGATAGGTATCTTCATAATTATGTTACTTCGTGGAGTCCGTACAGCAATATTTGGAAACTTGGAATTCCAAACGTATCCATTTTTACCTCGTTGTGATTCGATAGCAGGTCAGACGATGACGAATTTTCACTTCCTGACGTATATCGTTCCTCTTCTTGTAGATATTCAGCATCATCTTCCGAATTGTCTTCATCATGTGATAATGTTTCTTCTTCTTCTTCAAACCACTGCATTACAATCTTTTCGAAATTGGAATCGTCATATCTAATTTTTGAAGTACTTGGCTTACTTAAATTCATATTTTTTCTGAAACAATATTGATGGTATAGCTACGTATACACAAAACATGAAAATAGTTTATTACCTTTATTTCACTTCAAATCCAGATTTTTACGGGAATATCAAAAATAAACTCACGTTATTCGTGACTGTCGGTCACAGGGACTCCTATGCGATGTACGCGTTAACCGCGAGAGTCGGTCTGAGATGTGAACTAGGCGCCGCGATTTCAAAGGTTAAAGGGTGGGGAGTACTATTTCACGTGTTTCGAGTTAAGATGAACCTAATTTGAAGCTAGACGAACGCGGGAGTTTCAGTTATATTATTTATAGAAAATACAGCTGAGTAAAAAAATTGTGGCGGTCTCTCACACCGACATCGCGGGTTAAGGGTTAAAACTGTTTCTAGCTATTTTAACTGATTCTGCTTTGCGTAAGTGTACTTCTTTTTCGGTAACTGCGTTTTTTCTTGCTTCATCTTCACCATTATCAATTATATTTTGTAATTTATCACAAACACTGCATGTATCAGCTAAGGGTCTATGGAATCTCAAATTAAATTGAGTGTTAAAAATGTACCTATAAAAACATTCCTTTTCTGGTTGGACCCCTTTATCCAAACAAAATTCTTGGTAAAGCTTATACATTTTTCTGACAGTAAGGCCAGGGTCAAGGTATCTACAGTTGGGATTTTTGTGCCGAGAGTAATGGCTGACATATTTCGGGAACTGATTAATATGTTGCTTTATATTATCAACTCTTTCTTGGCTAATTTTGTTTCCTGGCGGTCGCTTTCCTCTATTCTCTCTTGGAGATACACCACTTGAAATCAATTTCTTTCTATCGACCAAATTTTGGAGGCGTTTATTAGAAAGATCAAGTATTTTTAACAAAAATTCTTTACAGACCCTGTTGTTTGACAGCCTGTATTCACATGACACATCTCTACTGTAGAACGCACTCTGTTTCCTTCTCTTTACTGGAAGTAACTTAATTACACCATTAACCCTTAAATAACATGAGAATATTCATACACGAATGACAACATGGGGTCGCGTATGACCCCAAGCAGAAATACTGTTATTGATGATATATTTTCATTGAAAACAATGCCAGAAATATTTTAATTAACTTTAATTAGAGAAGAAAAAGGAATACAACATTTTTAAATACAAAATGCACAAATAGCCTGCCTGTGTTCGGCGCACAAGTTACGCTTGCATGTTATACAGGTATCTCTACCTTTTCTGTCTAGAGTTCTTGGACATACGGAGCAGCGTTTGTTTCCTCTGGTTTCCAGACTAAGTGGTACGTGGTTTACAATATCCGTTTCTGCTACATCCAACACCTCTAAAATCTGCTGCCTGAAACAAAACAAACAATATTATATCGATAAGCTGCTTTTTCATTCTGTTACCTTAGATTGCATGGTAAATTTGTTATTTCAAGCCTCCTTTTCATATGTTCTTTGGTAAGGTCTTCACCCAGCTGCATCAGGAACATGCGTCGTGGTGTTTTCTTAGTGTCTGGACTATTGGCTTGATAGATCACGTAGGCATTCACAGCACCCCCATCAAGCATGCCGTATAAAACTCTAAGAGGCCATCTTTTCGTTCTTCTTGATACGGACTTACTGTGACATAGCTGGTCAAAAACATCGACTCCACCTTTGGTAGCATTATAAAATAAATTAATTTCGGATTTCCCTGAATTCTGTTCAACCTCGTTACCGTTATGCATTGTTGACATGAGTAGTACTACCTTATTCTTTTTAGGAGTATGAGACACCAAAACTACGTTTCCATCGAAAGCAAATCTGTTAGGCTCTAATATTTTTGGTTTGAGAAATTCAGTTGGAATTTCTGGTTTATTTTTTCGTAAGGTGCCTACAAATGTTAGTCCTACTTCCTTCAATGATTTTGCCATGCCCATAGACGAAAACCAATTATCTACCGTGATATTCCTATTAGTTTTGTGAATTGGTTCGGACAATTTTAGAACATATTGTGAGGGTAACGGAAGGTTACTTGGACGATCTTCTTTGCCAATATATGGTACTGCTGAAACCATATAAAACGTTTTTGCATCACACAACATCATTATTTTGATGCCGTATTTATCTGGCTTATTTGGGATATACATGCGAAATGGACAGCGCCCTCGAAAACCCAGAAGCTGTTCATCAACAGTAACGTATTCCGATGGCGTGTAATTATTTCGACAATTTTCAACATATCTTTCCCAAACATTTCGGATAGCACAAAATTTATCTAATTCTCTCCTTTGGTTTCGGGTTGTTTTATCATCAAATCGAAGATTTTTTATAAGAAACGAAAACCTGTTTTTGCTCAAAGTGGCTCTAAAAATTGGTGCGCCATACTTTTTAGACCACAGCTCCTCTAAGTTTACATGATTATTCTTCAATACTCCGCTTATGTATAGTAAACCAAACAGTGCTTCTAATTCCGTTTTATCTGTCTGTCCTGTGTATCTTTGCGATTTTGAAAACTTTGCCTGATTTCTGCTTATTTCTTCATTTGTATGAGTAACAACTGTATGCATCATGTTATCATCAAAAAATAATTTCCACACCTCATATTCGGTTTTCGCAGTACGTGCTGCCCCTTTAGGTCCAGGAAGATGGACAACCAAATTTTTCTTCATTGTACGTGTATTTTTTGAATGAAAAGGTTTCGAGTTCCATTTGTAACCATTTTTCCCATAAATCACTTTTCTTTGCAGATCTGCTAAAGGTATCTCGTCGTCGGATGACTCGTTTTTAGTAGGCTCATAACTATTTCGTCCGCTTCCACTTCTTCTTCCTCATGATCTTCAGCTTCACTTCCACTATCACCCAAGTCATTATTACTATCGTCACTATCCTCTTCACCTCGTTCGTAGCGTCTTACAATTTCTTCGAGTTCTTTGTCACTTAAATATTTCTTTTGCGTAAACATGGTTTTTTATTCCGCAAATAACAACACGGGTCACGGGCGACCCCAATAACCTATAAATCGGATAATAGCTGTCGACCGCTCTCGTCGCTTTCTGTGATAATATACTAAGTGACATATAAATCCGAACACCCAGTTTAAATGGTTTTATTTTAATAAAATTTTGTATAAGTACTTAATGAAGCATAATAAGTAAATGATAAAAATTTCAAAATGATTGCACTGCTTTAAAGCCCTTTGACCTTTAATAATGTGTGGATGCACCCTGATGTGCTACGCATTCTCCAACGCGCCTAGGCAGGCTTCTGATCAGGTGGTCAATGTCCTCCTGTGGTATTTCATTCCAGGCAACCACCAACTCCTCTCGAAGTGCTTCTAGAGTCTGAGGAGGACGTTGCAAATTGAGCAATCTCCTACCCATCATATCCCACACGTGCTCAATTGGGGATAAGTCGGGAGATCTTGGTGGCCATGGTACAATGTGACATCATTATGTTGAAAGAAGTCTATTGTGACTCTTGCAACATGTGGTCGAGCATTATCTTGTTGGAAAGTTGGATCTGTCAGGGTGTCAAGATAGGGTAAAAGATGGGGTTCTAGAACTTCGTGGATATAACGCTGCGCGTTCATGTTACCTCTGATGTAGATTAAAGGTGACCTGGAACCATAAGCTATAGCACCCCAAACCATAACTCCAATAGTATGATGAACATGTATTTCAACAAAAAACTGTGGATTCCTCCTTTCACCACGTCGCCTTCTAACCCTGGCACGACCATCGTGCATGCCTAAACAAAATCGAGACTCGTCATTGAAGACAATACTGTTCCATTCCTGATCCCAGAGTGACCGTTGTCTGTACCACTCAAGGCGATTACGTCGGTGTTCTCGAGTTAAAAGGAGGACCCAGTGTGGCCGGTATGAAAACAAGCCAAAACTTCTCATTCGTCGGTAAACACTTCGCATGCCAATAGGTCTTCCGTGTTCTGCAAACCATTCATTTGCAATGGACCTGGTAGTGGAGAAACGGTCCCTTAAGGCCAATAATCTTAGGCGGCGATCTCCACAGTCTGTTGTTCTACGGCGGTGGCCAGTACCCCTTGCTCTTTGCGTACGGCCTTCTCGAAGCCATGCCTGACAACACCTAACCACAGTGACTACACTTCTTTGCACTCTAACTGCAATTGCCCGAAAAGAAAGTCCAGCTTCCCGAAGTCCCACTATACGGCCCCTATCAAACTCACTAAGTTGACGAAATCGTACAGGTCTCCGTACTCTAGGCATCGTAACCGATCGTTAAGGATGTCAAGAACCAAAATCCGCCAACGTTGATTCTTTACTGCGGCTGAAATATTCATTTTTAGAGCGTTAGTGAATTCAAAAAAAGCATTATAAAAACCGGAATGTCCAACTGGTAAGGCTGAAAATGTTTTCACTTGTTATTTACAGAAAGATAAATACATTCACCAACTTTTATTAAAATAAAACCATTTAAACTGGGTGTTCGGATTTATATGTCACTTAGTATACTAATGGCTACACTTGAAAGGTAGGTGGGGGGATACGGCTGCAGCGGAATATTCGTACGAAATATGACTGAAATATTATTGGGCTGGGTCACAGGTGACCCCATGTTGTCGTTTAAGGGTTAAGATAGGAAGTTTGCAGTTCCCAGCTGCCTAACCCCCAAAAATCTGCAAAAATTTGTTTTCTTTGTTCTTCACTGACCTTGTCATTGCATTTAAATCGGCAGGTATGAATGAAGGGTTTTACAAATTTTGTCAAATGCAGTTTATTCTTGCGATCAATATATTCTTTGCCTGTATTTCGAGCAGTTTTCATTTTCGCCCGTATCCGCTCACTTGGATTACTTAATTTCTTTTTGCCTTTCGATGTCGATGGTTGCACATTTTCCAAAGCATCTTTATCTAAAAAATATTATTTTATTATATTTTCATCTACATACAGACAAATACATACCAGAATCACTTGACGCAGACGTATCATCACTTGGACAAGAAAAATCGGGGTCGGTATCTGCATCTAAAAATATGTAAAAATAGATGCACAGCCAAAAATATTGTCTGAGAATATTAAATAATTAAATAATAAAAAAAGACTCCTAGACATCTCCTAGACTCTAATAGGTATCTACCTACGCATGCAATAGACATAAAAAATCATTAGTTGAAAAAATCTAAAAATATAGGAGAGTAGGCTTTTTTTGTTGTCCTTGTTTTTTTTACCGCACTGGTACAAGCACTAAACTAATCGGCAATATTATCAATTAACTTACCATCAAAATAATTGAGGTTAGAATGTAAACTGAAAGAATCTGAAATTTTTCTTGACTGTAATGCACCAAACTATTATAGTTTTATACCTTGCACATCGAAATGTACAAGTTCTTTGATTAAAACACCTAAATAGGGTAACTGAACACTGCAAATTAGAAACCTAATGCATCCAACACTAATTCAACAAGTGAGAACAAGTTGGCGACCAAACGATATAAGTGAATTTGTTCCGAGGCCAAGAGGTACAAGCGCACTAGTATTCAGTGGCTGCCAACTATTTAACATAATATTTGGAGGAGTTAAGTGAAATACCCACATATCGTCGCTGTTCTGACAAATGGACGTAAGCGCCAATAACATAATTTTACAGTAGAGCGCTTTTAGGAAAATATGTATCTTAGATGAGTTGATGATTCTGTAACTAGCAACGATATTTTTTTACAATTTTGTATCAAAGTGAATCATCAGGGACACTTTCAATCTGTCATAACGTGATTGCAAAGCTCGCACGATATTGTCCTACAAAATGGCCACTTTGGACATACGCCCGTTCGTCAGAGTTACTTTACAGAGGTATGTCACTTACGCCATTTTTCATTAGTAATTTTAAACATACACAATGGTTCCTATCATTAACGACATTTTTATTTAAACAAAGAAAACTTCAAAATATAGAAATTAAACAGAGGATGTATGCAAATTATAAAAAAACTGAGGTGTTTAATGATGCGGGAGGTTCTTGAAGTATTGTTGAAACGTTAGATCTCGCACTATGGGTGTAGGTCCAGTACATAGCTGAACAAGGTTTTCGTATTTCAGGCTGTCTAATTTAATTGGACCATTATTAAGTCTACGTACCGCCTGTTTCAGGACTTCAAGAGTGTTTCTTTTCAGAGATAATATGTTATACTGATTAGCAAGCTGGCTGGCTTTTAGAAACAGTTGTGGAACATCTTTCTTTACCATTACTTCCTTGATTGCGGTGAAATTAACATTTTCCCCCGTGTCAAATTTTCTCAGTTGTCGAATGCGGAGTTGTTCGGCCACAAACTTGTAATCCAGAAAGTCAGCATTATCCATAGGGATGGCAGTGTATGGAGAATTCCGTCTTGCCAATTTAAGAATAGAAGGAAGCTGAGCAGGAATAAAGACATCTCCTGCTAAGGCTAAAGCTGTCGAAATAGTACTGTGGGCAAAGTCGCCCTCGCTTTGGCCGTGATTTGTTTCGAAGAAAGATAATGATATTTTTTAAATGTTTTTGGTATTGGTTATGGTGTGCAGCTACATGGCTAAAACAATCGTGTTCTTATTTTGGCCACCACAACCATCTGCAAATAGTCTCACTTCTTTTATTCCCTGGGTATCCAGCTGAATAAGGTAGTTTGCCACGCATGTTGATATTTCGTTGGACCCTCGTTTACTATTAATTTCGTTCCAAAGATAACACAAGCAGTTTTTATTTCCTAGGTTGTAAATCGTAAAGTTGAACACTGATAGACGACGGCTATAAAAAATTCCACTTTCATTGCTTCTTGGAAGCGAAATTACCTGTTGCAGGTCGAATACAGCACTAGCTATTACTGCAGGGTTTTCTTGTGATGATTCTTTAGCATCTTTTTTCTTCTTTCGCACAGAGTCCCTCTCTGCAATGTGTGCAGCAAAAGAATCTTCGAGTTTGGCCTTCGTTTCCGTGCTGCCTTCTTTATAGGACGAACAAAGGCTACACTGGTCTTTCTTTGGGTGATGGAAAGAAAGATTCAATGACTTGAATACCCTTCGATAGGTGTGATAACTACACTGTGGCTGACGTCCCTCTTGCACGTAAAAATAATACATTTTCTTAATAGTCAGATCTGGGTGCAAATACTCCCTGGTGGTGGACTGTCTGCAAAAGTGTGATTCCATCCGAGGAAATAGTTGAATATGGGCTAATACTGCAGACCGAGTAGCGCTATCTTTTTCACGCAAACTGGCGTGTCGACCACCACGTGCATCAGGACGTACTATCCCTTCATCATTTAATTTATTTAGCGCCGTCCGCATGGTTTTTTCAGAAATTCCGAGCGTGTTTAAAAACATAGTTTTACAAACAGTTGTTGATGTATTTGCATTCGCAAGACGATAAGTAAATGTTCTTGTTCTACGTGAAACAATGTTGCTTGTTCGCTTTCTTTTAATATTGTGAGCTGTAACATGACCCGCAACGAACTCCCTCTGTAACTGAAGGCTTTTTGTTTCATAGAAAGCAGCAAAAATCTTTTGCCTATGTTCTTCCGTGATTAAGCTGCACTCTTGTTTACACTTCTTTGTGTCACATCGCGGGTTTATTAATTTCGGTGGCATAAGTTTTTTTGAAGTTGAACTCACGTAAGCTTTCCCCTCACTTTTTGCGCATGTGCTATTGCCTTTTTGTTTCCTTTTTTTGTCTTAGCAAACGGCACCTCTCTTTGCACACCATCTACGGCATACTTAGCAGCTAAGCGATCGCGCTCGATCTCTGCCTTATCCTTTCCGTTTTCAGAATCAGATGAGTAAATATCATCGTGATATTTGCAGTCGCTATTGTTATTGAAATGATCCCAGCACAACAATGCAGGGCAGCGGTGACAAGCAGCAAATATTTCCTGTTTGCAATTTTTAAAATTACAGGTTTGGGTATAAGTGGGGTCGTGATTACTGCTGTCAGAACATTCAAATGGATCAACAGCTTCAGGTTGATCTGGAGTTTGTTCTCTAGGACCTGGTGGAACCTCGTCTTGTAAATCAATATTTTTTATTGGACACACTGATTTTGGTGAAATGGAAGGCTCCTTATTTTCTTCGATAGCCTTCTTTAAAACATTGAGTGGAATATTGTCATCGTCTGAATCGTTGCTTTCCAGCTGATGTATTTTCTGCATCTTTTCTGGTGGATTGGAAATATAAATTCTTATGCTTCCGCATTAATTCCTTCGAAGTTGTCATTACTACTCCGTAATAATATTTATTGTCGGGGGGCCAGTACATTTTCACCCCAACACCAGAGCGTAAAGTCTGAGTTTTATGTACAGTGTTGAGGTTTTTTGAATACACGACGTTAGTTGTACCGTCGTCCCACTTGACTAACACATCCATGCTGCTTTGGTTAAGTTACTGCAATAAAAACAAACATTTGTAATAACCATAGCAAAAGTTAACCCTAACCAACACAAAATCTATGGTTAGTTTGAAATAGTTTGCCTCATTTCGCGGACGTCATTTCAATAATTGACAGGCAGTGAAGGTTTTCTCGCCTCGACTTCATTCATAACCTCACATTTCAACTATAAATGTCAGAAGCACCAAACCACGACGCATGTTTATCTCAAATAATATATTACTTTAAGTCAAAAAAAAATGTGCTTACCTTAAGTTTAGACTTTCAACTTTCACTTAAACATACACCTCACCATCTGTTATGATAACTGGGGACACCTAGACGTTCTAGAAAACCCGTAAACATGCAGGAGATGGCGCAACAGTATCGGTTATCACCATAGCCACCTAGAACTACGTTAGATATAGGTGGCTATGGTTATCACAGTTACATACTACTAAAGCGCAATAGATGATGTGACGAACAGGCGTATGTCCATTTATGGATTTACGCCTCTTAGCCAGATTCCCTATCTTCCATTGGTGTCACTTTCGTCCTTACTGACTATGATGTATACTCCGTGGTATGAGCGATGGAGATACGTCCATTTGTCAGAACATAGGTATACCCCTGGAGAGTTTCTCAGTGGTTTATCTCCTATTTAGAGATTGTGTCGCTTACGCCCATTTGTCAGATCAGCGACGATATGTCGTTAATGGTTGGAAATTAACGTGTACCCTTTGGCCACAATATTAAAAGCCTGTTTGACAATGTGTTGTTGTACTTATCTCCAAATTGACCAAAAGTGCACTTATACCCCTTGGCTTATAGACGCCTCATATGTAGTGGATGCGAGCATCAACAAGGCATTGCACTTTCAAGCCATATTTTACAGGTTTGCTTGGTAAATACATTTTGAATTTACACCTGCCTCTAAAACCGACCAACATCTCGTCAATAGTTGCATTCGCTCCCAAACAGTAAGCTGGTTGCGAATTTTGATTGAATTTTTTAAATATATGTGAGATTGCTGCAGCCGGGTCAATTTTTATTCTTAGTAATCTCTCTTCATAAGAATCGAATCTTAGGCAAGCTAATAATACGGCGAATCTTTTTGCTGACATTACCAATCGATTTCTCTACCAGTTCCGTCGGTTGCAAAGATTGATTCAATAGCCTTATTATTTTATAGTATTTGACTTGAAAACAGCACTCAACAGCAAGAGTCCCAGAAAATAATTAATTTCAACAGAATTTGTTTCCCTGTATTCCGTACGATTTTCATTCCCTGGCTTAGAACGGAATTCCTGGATTTTCAAATTTGTGTAATGCACAACGATGTCTAGAATATCGTCAGAGAAAATTTTCCGCCATGCGTCCACCGGTTCAATGCTTGGCAAAGCATTTTTGTTTCCAGGCAACTTCAATATATTATGGGCTGGTGTTCTTACATTTCGGGTTGGTTCAGTAGCAGCCCATTTGTATCTGTTTTTTCCGTAGAAATATCTGTTTACTGGTTCACTTGTTTCACTGTCCTCTTCACTTTCAATAACCTGCGTCTCCTCTCGGCCATCATCATCAGAAGCACTGTAAGAAAGCTCACTCGTCGTTTCGTGATCACTTGTGATGGCATTCTCAGAAGTAATATTGCTCTCAGGATCTGCATCTTGATCTGAAAAGTCTTCGTCACATTCTTCAAACCATCTTTGTACAGTTTCTTCAAAGTTAGGATCCGTGAACCTAACTCTGTTTGGATTCCCGTTCATAGTTGCAAAATTGAAAATATAATACTAACTGCTTCGCGGAGTCCCACGGACTCCAAGTTCTTTGTTACGCGCACTTGCCTTGACGATAGACTGAAGTCAACTGAACACACGTCGCATCCCCCACCATAGGAAGGTACTGAACGGCGCACTCTGTTTAGTAAATGGAGACGGATTTTTTTTTTGGCACTAGGACATTGCGTCCCATTAGCCAGATCCAATCTTTGTATATGTACGTATATCTAATTTTGGACAAACACACGACGTCACAACATCCATGGCTTCGAAAATGTGATTTCCGAAGGCGAGATTCGAACTCGCGGTCCGGCCGGCCGGCTGATCAGTAGCAACAATTTTTTTTTAGCAACAATTTATATTTATTTTTCAAGATTATATACAATAATATGCACTTAAATTATATATACACTACGAGTGTTAGGCTTAATGCTAACATAGTAATATTCTCTGTGGAATCGGGTGCACACTCGATTTGACCCACAGAGATGCTTGGTGTTAAGCTAAATAATTTTATAATATACATGTGCATGTGGTTATATATATTATTCTTGTCACATCCAAATAATAAAATGACACTTACAAAACATACAAGAACAAAGGAAAGTCCAAAAAATTCAATATTCATAGATTTTGTCCGGGGTTTGGTTGAGAAGTGTATTTACAGGAAATATACAGAAAACCTGTACGAAAAAATTAAAAATTTGAAACAAAGAGGTTTTTACATATATACATACTTACATTTAAAATTATGGTACATATTTACATTACAGAGATTCCGAAAGGATATACCGATAAATTAGCCCATGCTTTCTGATTTTACCATCCAGATGTGATTGGGGTATATTAGCAGTCAGTAGACATTTCTCTATTGTGTGGGAGTAAAATTTCTCGGTTTGTGCTTTAATGACCTGTAAAATAGTTTTGAATCTAGTGTCCTGTTGCATTAGATTTTGTTTTATCTGATGATTGGTGTCTCTTCGGCTGCACTCATAATTATCCTCAAAAACTTGTTGTTGTCTCCTTTGGAGAAAATTAAGTTGTGTATTTGATACTGAACTGTAAACCTCACAGCCATAAAGGAGCTGTTTATATATTAGTAGCTTGATGGGCGTATGAAGTTTACTAGTTGGGCATATTAACGGGTAAAGGGTCTTCAGCATTCATACGTATCGTCTTGATGTGGTTTTGAAATGTCAGTCGTTTATCTATGGTAATTCCCAGGTATCTAGCGGTTTTACTTTCCTGAATTTTTGCGTTTTTCACTGTGAGGGGCCTAAAGATTTTGATTTTATGTCTTTTAAAATTAACTGTACAATTTAGAACTTCGGTTTTATCTGCATTTATAGTTACTTTATTTTGTTCAAAAAACGGAATGAGTTTTCTGTTGATGTGAATGTCTACCTGCCTACATGCTACCTCAGATTGAACTGCTTGAGGACAAGTATGACTCGATCAGATTTACTAGATATGAGGGAAACTCGAAGTCTGCTAACCTTTCTATTCGTTTGTCTGTCCAAACTTTATCAAATGCTTTTTCTATATCTAACAAAGTCATTACTGTACTTCTACCATCATTGAACCCTGCCTGGATATGGTGCATTACTCTAGCTATTTGGCCCATTGTTCCGTGGCCTGCTCGGAACCCAAATTGTTCGCTAGGTAATATTTTGAGTTTTTCTTCTTCTTTAAGTAATACGCATAATATGAAACGATCTATCACTTTTAGTACTTAACCCTAGAGAGCCTACCCTCTTTTGACTTTCACTCAAGAATAACCATTCGTAAATTTTACGATTTCATTTTCAAAACGTTGTAGCAACTAAATAGCAAAAAACATTAAAACAAAAACCTCACTATATGAATGAAATGGCTTTATTTGTGTAAAATTTAACAATAAATAGTATTTATTCAGTTAACACTGCCGCACAACGAGCAAAGTA